TGTGGCCTAGGTTCGATTCCCGGCGCTGGCGAGGAACAATGGGCAGAGCTTCTTTCACCCTGATGCACATTATACTAGCAGGAGCATCAGTAGGAGCAGTAAATAGGTACCTGGGAGTTAGACAGCTGTTACGGGCTGCTTCCTTTGTGTGTGTGTGTGTGTGTGTGTGTGTACTCACCTATATGTACTCACCTATATGTGCTTGCAGGATCGAGCATTGACTCTTGGATCCCGCCTTTCTAGCTATCGGTTGTTTACAGCAATGACTCCTGTCCCATTTCCCTATCATACCTAGTTTTAAAAGTATGAATAGTATTTGCTTCCACAACCTGTTCCCCAAGTGCATTCCATTTTTCTACTACTCTCACGCTAAAAGAAAACTTCCTAACATCTCTGTGACTCATCTGAGTTTCCAGTTTCCACCCATGTCCCCTCGTTCTGTTATTATTACGTGTGAACATTTCATCTATTTCCACTTTGTCAATTCCCCTGAGTATTTTATATGTCCCTATCATATCTCCTCTCTCCCTTCTTTTCTCTAGTGTCGTAAGGTTCAGTTCCTTCAGCCGCTCTTCATATCCCATCCCTCGTAGCTCTGGGACAAGCCTCGTCGCAAACCTCTGAACCTTCTCCAGTTTCTTTATGTGTTTCTTCAGGTGGGGGCTCCATGATGGCGCGGCATACTCTAAGACGGGTCTCACGTAGGCAGTGTAAAGCGCCCTAAAAGCTTCCTCATTTAGGTTTCTGAATGAAGTTCTAATTTTCGCCAGTGTAGAGTACGCTGCTGTCGTTATCCTATTTATATGTGCCTCAGGAGTTAGATTAGTGTCACATCCACTCCCAGGTCTCTTTCTCGAATCGTTACAGGTAGGCTGTTCCCCTTCATTGTGTACTGTCCCTTTGGTCTCCTGTCACCTGATCCCATTTCCATAACTTTACATTTACTGGTGTTAAACTCCAGTAGCCATTTCCCTGACCATCTCTGCAGCCTGTTTAAGTCCTCTTGGAGGATCCTACAATCCTCGTCTGTCACAACTCTTCTCATTAATTTTGCGTCATCTGCAAACATTGACATGTGTGTGTGTGTGTGTGTGTGTGTGTGTGTGTGTGTGTGTGTGCGTGTGTGTGTGAAAAATTAGTTAGTAGGTAGTAACAGTTGATTGATTGACAATTGAGAGGCGGGCCGAAAGAGCCAGAGCTCAACCCCCGCAGGCACAACTAGGTGAGTACTTGTCCTACATTACTACCACATGACTGATTGTGTTGTAGTCGTTTAGCGCTGCAACACAACAATTATGTCTGTCTCTGGGTTTAACTGAACCTGTTGAATGACAGAAAGTCTTGTGCAGAGTTGAGCAACTTTCTGCGTTTTGATTGATTAACACAATGAAATTTGCATTATTTTTTTTTCCTTCCTTCACGTTTGATCAACTTGGTAAGATTGATGTTCCAAGATGAGAATATAATCGGCGTATTATCTTAGGAAGTTCGCCGGGGCCCAAGAGTGTGTATAGTACTGTTGTTCAGCACCTGGAGCAGAGGCAGCTGTCGGGAACACGGCAGATCTGCGCGTCATGACAATTTGTTGCGTTTGATTGCATTGATTGACACAATGAATGAATACATTTTTTTATCTGATTTGTAGGCAACTTTGTGGACTTCCTGTTGGCAGGACTGGCCATCACTGCGGCTGGTATTATCATCGCTGTAAAGCGCTGACAATGGTGGGGTTGAGCGGTCGCCTCTGCTCCAGCACACGCCCTCTGTCCTCCGCCCATTTTACCCGCGCCAGTTTGGCCACTTTTTAATGCGTAATGCAAGAGTGGTAAAGTGTGATAGTTTTGTCAGCACTGTGGACGCTGATGTGTTGTCTGAGAGGCTGGTGATGACGGTGTTGCAGGGCTCAATACAAGGCTTACAAGTGTTGCAGGGCTCAACGCAAGGTTTACATGCAGTGTTGCAGGGGCTCAATGCAAGGTTTACAGACAGTGTTGCTGGGCTCAATGCAAGGTTTACATGCAGTGTTGCTGGGCTCAACGCAAGGTTTACAGGCAGTGTTGCAGGGGCTCAATGCAAGGTTTACAGGCAGTGTTGCTGGGCTCAATGCAAGGTTTACATGCAGTGTTGCTGGGCTCAATGCAAGGTTTACATGCAGTGTTGCTGGGCTCAATGCAAGGTTTACATGCAGTGTTGCTGGGCTCAACGCAAGGTTTACATGCAGTGTTGCTGGGCTCAACGCAAGGTTTACATGCAGTGTTGCTGGGCTCAATGCAAGGTTTACATGCAGTGTTGCTGGGCTCAATGCAAGGTTTACAGGCAGTGTTGCAGGGGCTCAACGCAAGGTTTACAGGCAGTGTTGCTGGGCTCAACAGTTGCTTATCAAGCTATGCCGCGGGGCTGAACACGTTGTTCAGAGGCTGTGCCACAGACCAATTTGGTTGAAAACACTGTTTCAAAGGCCTCAGTGCTTGGCTGACTGGCTGTGTCGCAGGGCTCAACCGTTGCTTCAAAGGCTACCTGATGAAGTGGGTCTTAACGACCTTGATGACCAGACCACCATCCAGTAGACCAGTAGACCAGTAGACCAGTAGACCTAGGGTCGCATATTGGGTCGCGGGAGAGGTATCCTCCACACCACCTCAGGGCATCTCTTGTTGATGTTGTTGGGGTCTTCAGAGAGAAGTGAGACGTGTGTGTGTGTGTGTGTGTGTGTGTGTGTGTGTGTGTGTGTGTGTGTGTGTGTGTGTGTGTGTGTGTGTGTGTGTGTGTGTGTGTTACCTCTGCTGTATGCGCGTCTTTCCTGTGAGCCTGTGAGAAGCCACGTTTGCACTTCTGGCGTGTGCGGCGTGAGCCTCAGGTGTGTGCAGGTGTACAGGTGTGTGTGTCGCAACACACACACACACACCTGTTACTGGGAGCTGGATCAAGGACTACAAGCCGCGGGGCATGAACAAGCGTTCCCTCCACACACGGGAAACATGTGTTCTAAAAATTTAAAAAAGGATTTTTGAACAAATCTGAAAAGCTATACGAGCAAGACGCGAACAATAGAAAAATATATATATATACCCGACCAGAAAATAAAATTGAAAATACTGCAGTAAATAAATATAGACATCCAAGGCAGACACAAAATTTGACAAATATCTTAAAAACACTAGTGGAAAAATGGCCTATGAAATGTCTTAGGTCTATATTTTTTTCTACCTGTTTATGGTTGATGGGCTGCCACCTTGTTCAGTATACTTAATGGTATACATCGGAGTATATTTCGAGAGGTATACTCTCATCTTCCTGCTTACCTTTCCTTTCGATGATTTCCGAGGATCAACCTTCTGACGACCCAGTTTCTTTCACTCTGATGCGAGCCTTCCAGGTTCCGTCTTGGGTTACGTGTAGTAGGCCTATTTAGAGAATGAGGTAACGCGTGGTAGGCCTGGGTAGAGACTACCTTCATTTGTGACCATGGCGTGATAGCACACAAAATGAAGTCAATGGGAATAACCGGTAAAGTAGGACGCTGGATACTCAGTTTTCTGTCAAACAGGACTCAGCGAGTAACGGTCAACCATATAAAATCTAGTCCAAGCGCAGTTAAAAGCTCTGTACCGCAGGGTACAGTCCTTGCACCGCTGCTTTTCCTTATTCTCATATAGACAAAAATACAAGGCACAGCTTTGTATCGTCCTTTGCAGATGACACAAAAATCAGTATGAAAATTACCTCGGCTGAAGACATAGAAAAACTTCAAGCTGATATTAATAAAATTTTCGACTGGGCATCAGAAAATAACATGATGTTTAACAGTGATAAATTCCAGGTACTCAGGTACGGTGAAAATGAGGACCTTAAACATACAGGGTACAAAACACAATCGAATCTTCCCATAATAGGAAAACAGGATGTAAAGGATTTGGGAATAATGATGTCTGACGACCTAACGTTTAAGGAGCATAACCAAGCAAATATTGCGTCAGCCAGAAAAATGATAGGATGGATTACGAGAACTTTCAAATCCAGGGATCCCATCACAATGGTTGTACTCTTCAAGTCACTTGTGTTGTCTCGTCTTGAGTACTGCCCAGTACTCGCTTTCCCCTTCAGAGCAGGAGAGATTGCTGAAATAGGGGGAATACAGAGAACATATACGGCACGCATAGACGCGATAAAGCACCTAAATTATTGGGATCGTCTCAAAGCCCTCCAAATGTATTCACTAGAAAGAAAACGAGAGAGATATCAAATAATATACTCGTGGAAGATACTGGAGGGCCAAGTACCAAATCTACACAGTAAAATAACAACGTACTGGAGTGAACGATATGGAAGAAAATGCAGAATAGAATTAGTGAAGAGCAGAGGTGCCATAGGCACAATCAGAGAACACTGTATAAACATCAGAGGTCCGCGGTTGTTCAACGTCCTCCCAGCGAGCAAAAGAAATATTGCCGGAACAACCGTGGACATCTTCAAGAGGAAACTAGATTTATTCCTCCAAGGAGTGCCGGACCAACCGGGCTGTGGTGGGTATGTGGGCCTGCGGGCCGCTCCAAGCAACAGCCTGGTGGACCAAACTCTCACAAGTAAAGCCTGGCCTCGGGCCGGGCTTGGGGAGCAGAAGAACTCCCAGAACCCCATCAACCAGGTATCATTTCTACCCCCTGCCTTCAACCCTCCCCATCTCCTCCCCCCTCCCCCCCTTGCACACACCTTCCTTCTTTGAATATCTTCTCCCTATCTCTGCTTTTTTTTTAACCAGTTCTTGTTTATTACTTGTTCCTCCTTGTTTGGATATGAGTGTTGGGTGTAAGGGGTTGGGTTGCCGGCAGTGTGGCGAGTGAGTGAGTGAGGGGGTGAGTGAGTGAGGGGGTGAGTGAGTGAGTGAGTGAGCGAGTGAGTGAGTGAGTGAGTGAGTGAGTGAGTGAGTGAGTGAGGGGATGAGTGAGTGAGTGAGTGAGTGCTGCTGGCTGGTGGGGGTGAGTGAGTGAGTGAGTGAGAGCCAGTATAGTGGAGGGGCGAGAGAGAAGAGAGTTGAGCAGGTTCTTGGAGAGGATTAAGTTTGTAATTGAATGACAGTTTCCACACCGTTGTGAGTCGCAGCTGAGAGAGTCTCCCCTCCAGTCCCTAGACCCCGGCGCCCCTCCTCCCCTGGGGGAGGCTAACTCCTTAAAGACTGGGGCGAGGCTGCTGGCGGTGTCTGCGGCGGTGCTCGTCCTCCTGGTGCTGCTGGCGGTGTCTGCGGCGGTGCTCGTCCTCCTGGTGCTGCTGGCCGTGTCTGCGGCGGTGCTCGTCCTCCTGGTGCTGCTGGCGGTGTCTGCGGCGGTGCTCGTCCTCCTGGTGCTGCTGGCGGTGTCTGCGGCGGTGCTCGTCCTCCTGGTGCTGCTGGCGGTGTCTGCGGCGGTGCTCGTCCTCCTGGTGCTGCTGGCGGTGTCTGCGGCGGTGCTCGTCCTCCTGGTGCTGCTGGCGGTGTCTGCGGCGGTGCTCGTCCTCCTGGTGCTGCTGGCGGTGTCTGCGGCGGTGCTCGTCCTCCTGGTGCTGCTGGCGGTGTCTGCGGCGGTGCTCGTCCTCCTGGTGCTGCTGGCGGTGTCTGCGGCGGTGCTCGTCCTCCTGGTGCTGCTGGCGGTGTCTGCGGCGGTGCTCGTCCTCCTGGTGCTGCTGGCGGTGTTTGCGGCGGTGCTCGTCCTCCTGGTGCTGCTGGCGGTGTCTGCGGCGGTGCTCGTCCTCCTGGTGCTGCTGGCGGTGTTTGCGGCGGTGCTCGTCCTCCTGGTGCTGCTGGCGGTGTCTGCGGCGGTGCTCGTCCTCCTGGTGCTGCTGGCCGTGTCTGCGGCGGTGCTCGTCCTCCTGGTGCTGCTGGCGGTGTCTGCGGCGGTGCTCGTCCTCTTGGTGCTGCTGGCGGTGTCTGCGGCGCTGGTGGTGCTGCCGAAGACCGCGCACGTCGCTCCGCCGCTCCTAGTTTGTGTTTGGCTTTGTTCGCTCTGCTGGCCCACCATGGTCGCTCTGCTGGCCCACCATGGTCGCTCTGCTGGCCCACCATGGTCGCTCTGCTGGCCCACCATGGTCGCTCTGCTGGCCCACCATGGTCGCTCTGCTGGCCCTCTATGGTCGCTCTGCTGGGCCACCATGGTCGCTCTGCTGGCCCACCATGGTCGCTCTGCTGGCCCACCATGGTCGCTCTGCTGGCCCACCATGGTCGCTCTGCTGGTCACCATGGTCGCTCTGCTGGCCCACCATGGTCGCTCTGCTAGCTCACCATGGTCGCTCTGCTGGCCACCATGGTCGCTCTGCTGGCTCACCATGATCGCTCTGCTGGCCCACCATGGTCGCTCTGCTGGCCACCATGGTCGCTCTGCTGGCCACCATGGTTGCTCTGCTGGCCCACCATGGTCGCTCTGCTGGCCCACCATGGTCGCTCTGCTGGCCACCATGGTCGCTCTGCTGGCCCACCATGGTCGCTCTGCTGGCCCACCATGGTCGCTCTGCTGGCCACCATGGTCGCTCTACTGGCCCACCATGGTCGCTCTGCTGGTCACCATGGTCGCTCTGCTGGCCCACCATGGTCGCTCTGCTGGCCACCATGGTCGCTCTGCTGGCTCACCATGGTCGCTCTGCTGGCCCACCATGGTCGCTCTACTGGCCCACCATGGTCGCTCTGCTGGCCCACCATGGTCGCTCTGCTTGCCCACCATGGTCGCTCTGCTGGCCCACCATGGTCGCTCTGCTGGCCCACCATGGTCGCTCTGCTGGCTCACCGTGGTCGCTCTGCTGGCCCACCTTGGTCGCTCTGCTGGCCCACCATGGTCGCTCTGCTGGCCCACCATGGTCGCTCTGCTGGCCCACCATGGTCGCTCTGCTGGCCCACCGTGGTCGCTCTGCTGGCCCACCGTGGTCGCTCTGCTGGCCCACCGTGGTCGCTCTGCTGGCCCACCATGGTCGCTCTGCTGGCCACCATGGTCGCTTTGCTGGCCACCATGGTCACTGCTGGCCCACCATGGTCGCTCTGCTGGCCACCATGGTCGCTCTGCTGGCCCACCATGGTCGCTCTGCTGGCCCACCGTGGTCGC